TGGAGCTATATTATAGAGACGAGGTTGTACTTCAATAACATACGATGCGAAGCCTCGAAAACCGAAGCGTCATCCTCGACAGGCAGCAGTTACGCCCATTAATTGCGCCGGTTCGATCTACAATACCGGTCCAACTTTCGACATGGAGATCTGCAGCACCAGTCCAACTTTCGACGCGGATCCTCGACTAGGTCGCACAAGTAGACTTGTTCATGGGCCGGGCTTGGGCTGAGCCTGGCTGGGCTTTCACTCTGTATTAACAGAATTTTTTAAGGCCCGAAGCCCGGGCCTGGGCCCGAAGCCCGGGCCTGGGCCCGAAGCCCGGGCCTGGGCCCGAAGCCCGGGCCTGGGCCCGAAGCCCGGGCCTGGGACCGATCTTGAAATTTAGCCCATATTGTTAGCGGCTGAATATATATATATATATATATATATATATATATATATATATATATATATATATATATATATATAGAGAGAGAGAGAGAGAGAGAGAGAGAGAGAGAGAGAGATTATAAAGAAAAGAATAAAAAATGTATATATTAAATTATAAATATATATTTTAATAAATATTATATTATTTATATTATTTATATAATATATAAAATACATATTATATATTTTATAAAATATATAATGCTGAGTCGGGTCAGACTGGGCTTGGGCCGGGCTTTTTTGACAAATCCCGAGCCCGGCCCGAAACACAGTCGGGTCTACTGTGTTAGGCCCGAGGTCAGGCCCACAGGCCTAATTACATGACCAAGTCCGACTAGGGTGCGGGCCGGACCGGGCCGGGCCATCGGGCTACCTGGCCCATGAACAGGTCTACGCACAAGGGCGCAGGCCCAACCGGAATGCCCGGTACCGACCCCTTCCGACACCGAACAAGGCTACAAGGCCGCGCAATAGTCTGACCGAGCATTCCCCTTCGACAGCAGAATTGGGGGAGTGGTTCGGGAATTGAAATTTTGGTTCCCATTTAAGTCCTGCAGCTGATGATCGAAGGACTCCTTGGCAACGATCGACACGACGCGGACGATATGCACGCCCGAAAGTTTGTCAACCAGGCAACGAACCTAGAGGACCTCGTCCCTTGACTTCGGAACTGGGGGAGTGGTGTTGGGGGCATGGCTGAGCTGGCTTAGAGAGGCTCACAACCACCTGTCATAGCTCGACCACGTCGGCGTAGTCCGGTCAAGCCATGTTATTATCGTGGTCCCCCGCCTAATCCCGATGGTCACGTCAGCTACATGCCATGCGGATAAGCTCGCCTAGCGGATAAGGATGGGAAGACAAATCCGCTGAGAAGTAGGACTCTACCCTCCAGTAACCTCGACGGAGAACTCTATCCTGATTATCCTGGAACCCTACTCCGACCAAGATACGGACCCCCCGGCTATAAAAAAGGTACTCCATGCTCGAGGTAAGGGACTTTGGACACCAATACTGCTACTTAGCTTGGACCGGCATCCCTATATCTCAGCCCGACCATTCACCACCACTTACTGAATTGAGCGTCGTAGTACTTACTTGGGGATAATTCCTCGGGCCTTTGACTTTTTTCTTGATCACAAGTCTTGAAGCACGACCTCGTCCTTATAGCTCGGCCCCGCCCCATCGACAAGGACTATCCGATTGCTCTCCTCAATTCGTGCACTACCTTGGATTAAGCAACATCATTTTCAATACATAATTGGAATATATTGTGGGGCACAGATAAGAATTCATATTGTAGTTATTGAATTTGAAACAAATAATTAGGAATAAAAGTCCAAGTCCAACAATTTAGAGTTCAAATCTGCATCCCACAGCACATCAGCATGCATTAGGAACATTTCCAATGCATGCTTGACATATACCGTGGGACGCAGATGTGAATTCAACAACTTAGCAATAAACTATCACGTACAACCATGGTCGCGGTCGTTTTGATGAGATGGTATTTCATTAAAACAAAAACCATGCCAACACCCTGAGAGTAAGGCATCCAGTTAAATATCTCCTCTTGAGTCCTTATCTGTTGGTCCTGGTTCTTGGCGGTTCAATCGAGCAGCTTGCCTGTTGTGTACGTGTCCGAAAACTGGGACATTGTAGCCTGCTTAAGTTATTGGTTTCATAGGTTCATCGGCCCAGGTCAAGACGGTTTGAAAATGATTGAAAGTCACTAGACACTTCGTGATCAAGTTGGGCCAAGAAGTCAGCTTCCATCATTTTGTTTTTGATTTCTAACAAGTGGTCCAAAATTTCTTATTTTGTTTTTTATTTCCCATGTTGGTCTTGCAAAAGATAATACTATATCTACAAAACTTGGTTTAAGATGACTTGGTCAGTTGGTGAACCTGTTGGTTGAATGACTTTAATCTGTTTGTAAGAATTTCCATTTGTGGTTTAATGAATTGCGAGGTTAGATGATGGCCATCTTGTTTAGAAAACAAAAAAAAGGAATGAATTGGTCATCCGGCTGAGGAATTGGGCCCATGTTGAATTAGTAGGGGGTAGTTGTTGTTGGATATGGATCGTCGTGTTCGCAAGCACAAATTCCTTTTGTTTCTTATTTTTTTTTTTAATATTTTCATTTTGGATGCAGTGAATTGGTCTATCTGGCCGCATCTGTCCTCTATTTCTATCCAGCACAAGAAATTAGAAGAACCTTTTACCGGCTTGCTTTCTAAGAATGGTCAAAAGTGTAAGAATCGGTCCCATCATCCCATTCAATCAATTCGTTATATTTTTCAGATTTATATGTAAAGGAAAGAAGAGAAATAAAACAATATTGCCCAAAATTTAAATGGTAAGAGCATGGCTTATTTTAATATACAGTTGGATCCAAAAATCAAAATTCCATCATGTATCGGGGGGGTAGTATATTGAATTGGCTCTGCCTTAATACTACATAAAATATTACTATTAAATGTGTATGTGCATTTATACATGACAGTATTTCTAATATAAAATTATTTATTATTTATAAATAATTTTTGAATATTTATAAGTGAGCAGTTTTTGAAGTAAAAGTAAAAGATATATATGTCTTCTTTACATCCAATGAAAATTCGAGAAAGAATAGACATTCACGCTTTTATAAGTAATATAAATATAAATGTATTCTAATATAACCAGGGTTAGGCCTTGCTGAAACCGTGCCCTTGTAATTTTTTTTTTTAGAAGGGGGAATGTGTTGGTCAAAACCCCAATAAATATGTTTCGGCATATGGAGGCGCATCAATTTGAACCTTGATTGGAACTAATCAATCCTATTTTTTTTTCCCTTCTACCCACAATCTGTTCTCACATCCATCCCCACTGATCACTGAGAACTAGGAGATTAGAACTTATTTTGTAAAAAGATTGAAGCGGTTAAAAAGGGAGAAAGAAAATAGAAACAAGTAATAATAATTGTAGGGGAGGCTTGAAACAACATTAATTCTTCATATATTTTGCAATTGAAGTAATGGACGGAAGGGTGGCTAGGGTCACAATTCACAAGGGTTGTCTGGTCGTATTTATGGATTACGCGTCTGCGGTTGTGAGCTTCTAGCCCTCTACTACAAACAAAGCATTGGCCTCCGATTTAATGTCTGGAAAAGGCCGAAATTCATTGAGGTAGCTACTGAAATTGCTGTGTGTCCATATCCATATGTTTGATGCTAGCCGTGGAAGTAGAATTTTTGAATTTTGACAGTCAGGGAAGCAGAATTTCACTATCCTCTTTTCGCCTTTTCAATGACAAGCCCATCTAATGTGGTTTCTTCTCTGGTGGGCCATACCAATAAAGGCTTGATCTTATTAATTACTAGAAAACAAGTAAATTAATTCTCTACTTTTTAAGAATTTCTAGCAACGTATATGGATACCGTTTTTTTTATCACGATCCATGAAGAACAACTTGTAGGTCCCAATCCCAATTCATCCTGGACAGATGAAGCCAATGATGATGGCAATGCCTCATTCCATAAGACAGAGGACAAGCTATGTAGTGATTGTTTTCTTTATTTTCTCAAAGCATTGTTTAAACTTTAAAATGTAAATCCTAATGTAATTTACGTTGGGAACCGTCTCGGCTTCTTGAGTCTGGGCCTATGGGTCCACAGGGCTTGTGATTGGGTATTAAGACCACTTTTAGAACTGGACTAGTGTTGGATATTTGGTAGGATCATGACCCAGCATTGGATTCGTCTTTGTCAAAGAGAGAGAGAGAGATTTTTCAACGATGCCATATGGCGTATGCCGGTAATTGAAAATGAGTTGTAATATGAACTTTTCTGCTTTCCAGTAAACGCGAATATTTTATGGTGATCCCATAATTTAAGCAGGTTTCTGTTGTTTTCCAGACTCCAGCTAATCTCCATAGTGGGACCTATTGATTATTTGGTCCCAATTATGGTAAGTTGTAGGGACCCAGACCGTGTTACGATGCTGTGTCCTGGAACCTAGCTATTGCCGCACTGTAAAAATTGCAAATCGTCCGTTTTTCACTTCTGATTTCTGAACGAAAAACTAGTCTCTGAAGCTTTTTACTGTTTTACTAGTCAAGGCAAGGGATCCCCTGGCTTGAATTGGGCTGGGGCCCACATAGAAGATGTTAAACTTCTTGGTGTCGTACAATTTCCATATATACTGGTTAATCTTAAAACGAGACAATGCCCAGTTTGGACGGTTCTGATTGAAGCAATATATTAGTTACCTCACCTGTGTGACAAAGACGAACAACAGCTCGTCTGATTAAAGTTGAATCGTGATTGATTTTTTCGCTTTCTAAGGAGCAAGAATATATATAAAAGAATATATGAATATATATATATATATATATATATATATCTATTGATCATTGATATTAAAATATCTATATCTATCAACTAACGAGGGAAAATAAAGAAGTAACAGTGATAATCGATTCAATATCGAGTTGACAGATAAACATCCTTCAATTACAAGGCTGGTACTAGAAGCGCAATATTATACATGACATACATAATAATAGCTAATAAGAATAAGATATATTTATAGGGAGAGTGATAAAGTGAGGAGGAGGTTGCATCTACGCGGAGCGCATTCATTTTTGTATCTTCCCACGTCGCCGACGACCTGCTAGCGTGCGCACGGTAGCAACCGGCGCCTCTAAAAAAAGAAAGCCTAGTGCGCATCCAGTTCCAGCCATCATACTAGTCTCTAGCTGGTTTGCACGAGAACCAATCAAAGTTTTCCCTCCCCTATTTGGTAAATCTCAATCTCTCTCTTAATGTTTTTAATCTTTAATCTAGTATCTATTTTCTTACACGCAGAGACAAAGCTTTCCTAGGTTTTTCTTTCTCTTCTTCGATGGCCGCTCCACCTGCTAGGGCCCGAGCCGATTACGATTACTTGATAAAGCTTCTCCTGATCGGCGACAGCGGTAAGAGATTCGCTCTTTGCATTCGTCCCTTCCTCTGTAATGCATTTTATTTCGATTTTTTTTTCTTGTCATTTTCTTTTACTTTTCCGGATCGTGATTTAGATTTGGAATTCTAAGATCTTCCGGCATCGATGGTGAGAGTTCTACGACTGTGATCCTATTATTTTCATTTGATGCTACTCCGCCTATGCGGATCGGAGAGTCCAAAAGGTTTGCGATGCTCGGTTCGGTTTCTGTTTTACGCTTTCACAGATCATATATTTTTCGTCTGGGGCTACGGAGGGATTAACCCAGTTTTGTAGCAGATTACTGTCTTATGATTTTAAAGAACGTATTTACTCTGCGTTGAGATAATTCGTTCATGAAGAGGCATTGGTTCGAAATGATGCCTCTTTTTCTCTTCATAATGGAGGTTATTCAAATTTGAATTTCTCCCCTTAATAGACATATGGAGATTTACTTTTGGACAAACATCGCACGGCAAACTATGATTGATAGGTTATCGGAAATTATTTGGTTAGGCATGTTTTAGGCTTATAGTGGATACCTGATTCTTTCAAGTCTTACCAATCACCCTGTGGACCTTGTTTAATTCCCCAGTTCACATTGGAAATTATCATGGATCTAAGATTTGATCCTGAAGGAATTTGGAAGAATTATGAGATTATGTGCCTTTCACTGCTGACGCAATCTGTTTCCTTAAAAAAGTTCTTATGGCCTTTTCTTGGCATTAATGTCGAGCTAATTGTTTTGATAGTAAATATTTTTTTTTTGGTAATGGTAATACGACATGATTGTTTTCCTTGTATGGCATTCCTTTTTCGTGTTCAATAATGGCATTACATGATGAAGGGATTATTTTGAGTTTTTGTCGAGTTGTTATTCAATACCCCTTTTACATGCTTCCTCCAAGCCTTTATTAAGTGTGCTTATTTACACCAAAATCTTCATAACTATGCTTGTGAGTCTGATTCTGCATTTTGGTGCATAATTTCAGCAATAAGTTATATATCAATTCAGTCTGTTTTCACACCTTGCATGGTTGTTTGACATAACCCCTAGATCCTGTAATAAACAAATAATTTCAGCTGCCTCTTTTGGTTCTGAGTCTGTTTTCAGCAACAATTCCGGTGCATAATTTCAGCATCCCGAGTCTGTTTTCATACCCTAGCTGCCTCTTTTAGTTATTTTGGACTTGGGAAAGATTTCTTGACCTTGTCGAGCTTTTTTTTTTCATAATAAATTTTCCCATTGCAAAATTGGTGAAATAAACAAATAACTATCTGTCTCTCTTAGTTGTTTTGAACTCTGGGAAGATTTCTTTATCAGATTCCTTCATGTTTTTCTTCTTGCATAATTAGGACAGGATCTTGCTGGTGATTATATTCACCTGTGCTGGTTGGACCGATGCTTTACGGCCTTTTTAATCCATAATAAAAATTTCCAATTGCTCATTTGATGATGCATTTTTAACACAGATGATCTGCTTATTACTGATAAAAAAACATGAATGATCTGCCTCTAAAACACTGCATATTTCTTTTCCTCTGGCATTAGTTTTATTTTTATTTGGCCTTTACTGTTAACTGCATTATGCCACGTATGATAATATTAAGGAAATACAGTGAAAAAACTCATTATTTGCAGCCAAAAATACTTGTTATTTGTAGCAAAAAACTCGATTTGCCAATGTCTTGTCTGTATCTTGTCAATCTGAGGGAAGGCAAGTTTATGGGGATTTGCTATGTTTTTTATCACATTTATGTATACAAGAATAGGGGAAATGGCAGTTGGCACCAAATAGAATGGACAGGTGAAACAGGATTCATGTAGCTGACCCCATATGGTTCAGACAAGGTTTAGATGATGATGATGATGGTTATGTATAGAATAATAGGCATTACTTTGATCATTGTAGTTGAAGGGATAGTTCATTCAAACAGGGAGTACAGTTCATTTAATATCCAGCAGTTGGAAGGCTATTCCAGTGGTGTTTTGGATTGTTTCTACTAAGGTCTGGATTTCATTTTAAGAACAGTATGAATGGGTAGAGTTGAGTGGCAACTGTCAACTGTCTGATAGCTTACTCGTAAAAGGGCTAGATTTTCTGCTGTGCCAATATAGAACATTCTGTTCAAATTGGAGGGTGGGGTGTGGTCTCTAAGTGACATTAAGGGCTATTTAGGAACTGACATAATAAAGAAATATTGATCAAAAGAGGTTGTGTTTGAAGTAATGCATGAGTATGTTCTGGATTAATTGGGAAGTATCTTGATTTTATGTGCCATGGGGTCTATATCTTTTTACCTTTTTTTTTGGAGTCTTCAATGTTCTATGACTTCTATCAAAGGATCAATTATTGATGATTGAGAATGATGGACAAATTCTTGTTAGTAACGCCTACTACATGGTTTCTCTCTTTCTCTTTTTCTGGGATCCATAAGATCATCAATCCACAAAATAAGTCCACCCCATTCTGGCAAAATATCCCATTTGCATAGGAAATTTGTCATGAGTTGACTTTGTTTGAAAATATCACCATCGTACACTCAAAATGTGAAACTGTAGAGACATTTTAAACTAGTCTAAACTCTCATTCAACGATGCTTAGCCATTTGCACCATTGACATTGATTGTGTTAGCTTACAAGGGTTCTTATAGTTCTGAGCTACTAGTTTTAATTTCTGTAAAATGGAAATTGGAAAATCAATTTCTTCCTTTTAGGTTCTAGTTAGTTGATTCTTACGTATGGATCTTTAGCATTTAGGTTTTTCACTTTCACATTCCTTTGCAGGTGTGGGTAAGAGTTGCCTTCTATTGCGTTTCTCGGATGGGTCCTTTACCACCAGTTTCATTACTACCATTGGGTGTGTTCTCTAATCTTTAGTATCCTAATTCCCATTGCACTGTATACTCCTTTAGAAATTTACTTCTGATTTCAAGCTTGTGGTTTCTTTGGCAGTATTGATTTTAAAATAAGAACCATTGAACTTGATGGCAAACGGATCAAGCTGCAAATTTGGGATACAGCTGGCCAGGAGCGGTTCAGGACAATCACAACAGGTAGAGATATATAGATGTATGAGTTTCTTGTGCAATTTCATAATTTGGCCAGATAAAAGATGCGAGTAAAAGCTGCCCTTTTGGTGCTGGCAATGGTGTGATGGGATAAATTTCATTGTCTTCACCTTTAGTTACCTGTAGCCAAAAAAAGGGCAACTTATCCATTATGTTTTTGGCTGGGCAGCTGGCCTGGCTAAATAGAATTTTTCAGTTCATGAAATGAATATACATGGAGCAAATGGCTGATGGATTAGCAAAATCTGGTTTGGGAAGTGGCGTTTTGTATTAGTGCAAATATAATGCCATGTTAGTCATTTTGGGCTCTTGTTCTTTTTGTTCTCTTAAGGCCCTATATGTACACCCTTTGCCTTTTTGTTTATAATACAAGCTATCTTTCTTCAAAAAAGAAAAAAAGAAATAAAAAAGAAAATAGAACATATATGTAGGACCAGTCCAGAAAAATGATATCTGGTCTATAATATACACTACATTTTTCTTATAGTCTTTGTTCAATTCCTTTGCATTATACTTCTTGATCTCTGTGAGATATTAGGGTGGGTGTATTAAGATTCCTCTTAATAATTTAGTTTTCTTTGTTTCTCTTGGTATTTTGCAGCTTATTACCGTGGTGCCATGGGTATCTTGCTGGTTTATGATGTTACTGATGAGTCTTCATTCAACAGTAATTGCTATCTCCTTTTTTTCTACTTTCTATTTTGTGATTTGATGGTGGATCTATTTAGAATTCATAAGATCCTGAAACTTCTGTTATCTTTTCCAAAAAAAGATCCTGAAAGTTCTATTTACTGAAGGAAGATCAACCATCTACTTCATTTGCTCTCTTAAGTTGGGATTCCCCCCCTTGACTTTTATGCACCTCCCAGTGCTTGGATATCTCGTTTAACTGAGGTGGATGGGTAAATCTACTTTATGGAGGAGGTTGTTTCACTGCTAATAGTGGATCTTTGATTTCTAATCTTCAGTTTTCTTCTTGTTTTCGTTAAAGTTGGCTTATTACCATGATTACAGACATCAGGAACTGGATTCGCAACATTGAACAACATGCTTCTGACAATGTGAACAAGATACTTGTGGGGAACAAGGCTGATATGGATGAAAGCAAAAGGGTAAGGTTCTGCTATGTTTTTCTGTCCTTGGATTTGCATGTCTTTATTGGTGGTTCAGCAGTGTTTGGTTAGGGGCAGCATTGGTTCACTTAGGCTCACAGGCGAGGCTCATTTTGTGGGAGTGTGCCTTGCTTGAACCCAGGTGCATACCAACTGGCTTATTGCTATCTTTTGATGAATTAACTTTGTAATTACAATGAAAAAATGAATTAACTTTGAAATTGATGTTGAACATGTAATTTACTAAATTATTGGTTGTACCTATATTGATTAGAACCTAAGCAGTTTGCCTATGTAGGACCTTAATGCATGAGGCTACAACCTTTGTGTTAATAACGTGACACTCCAACTAATTAAGCTAATGGGTTCCTGACATGCTTTATTTTTCAGAATCTAGATCTTAAACTTATTTTTGTGTGTGTGCGTGTGTTTTACTTTTTCTCCAATAAGTGGCACTTAACTTTGGTTCAGGCCTTCACCTCAGTTTCTATGCTTGTGCTTTACTTGTTCCTATTGCTTTTAAAAGGCTCTATTTAAGATGGATCGTGAGCTCTCTCACTGGCTGTGGAAGTGCTTGCTTTTGGGTTACATTGTTGGACCCATGTATCATGCTTAAAAGGAAAAAGAAGAAAAGTTTTGATTGAATCAGTCACCTTATCTGTTTTTTTTTTATAGAATCAGTCACTTTAATCTGGTACTTGTGTGGTGCTATTACATGGTCCTACTGTACTGCTTTTCCATATGATTGAAATAAAGATAATTCGAATTTTGCTTTCTCTTGTCTTCATCATTTTCAAGTAATATATTGAAATAAGATAGATCCGTCCTTTTCTAGGCTGTGCCCACTTCAAAGGGCCAAGCGCTTGCTGATGAGTATGGCATCAAGTTCTTTGAGACTGTAAGTAGAGATTGATTCCTGACCTTGATCTTCTGTTCCAGAATTATTGGATCTTTATAAATTTTCGGATGTACTTTGTTTTCTGTAGAGTGCAAAGACAAACTTAAATGTGGAGCAAGTTTTCTTTTCAATAGCAAGGGATATAAAGCAAAGGCTTGCAGAAAGTGACTCAAGGGCTGAGGTATAACATTCGTCCGTTTCATTTTGTGAGATAAATTTGTATAATGTGGTGTGCCATTTCTTCAATTGTAGTCATCCTATCAAAATTTGGGATCTGCACATCTAACCGCACTGGGTCACATCTACCATGTGCCTGCGTTGCAGTGGATGTAGAACTCAAATCGGTCAAGTATTTATTCTAGACATTTAATTTTCTAAGATGTTCCTTTTATTGGATGGTTGCAGCCCCAGACAATAAGGATTAATCAAACGGACCAAGCGGCTGGATCTGGTCAAACTCCTCAAAAATCTACCTGCTGCGGTTAAGAGAATTATAGTATGATGACCGGAGAGGAGAGAGAGGGCAGGTCCTGACGGCGACACTAGTAGTGTGGCAAAAACTAATTGTTTTACAATATTTGACGGGTGCTTGTATTTTTCTCCTCATCATTCTTTTTACCTACTACTTGTTTTTAGAGTGTGAAAGGTAGTTTCTCACTTATTTGAGGAATTTATGATATAACAGACAGTACTTGTTTTTCTCCCTTTTTTTTGTCTTTTTTTTCCCATTTCCTTCCTTTTTTTTTCGGTTTGGGATTAAAAACCCTAATATTGTTGCTGTCCTTAAATCTTAATGTAGAAATATAAATAGAAGCAGCCTTTCTTTTCTCCTATGAATCCCTTTGATTGTTTCATTTGTACAATTTGTTTATTGGTTACTAACTATTTGGAGTAGAAATTAGAGAGGTGGTTGTTAATCTCACTAGTTATATCCAGGACACATATCGGCTTGTATCGGCTGATATCTATCATGCTGGTGGCTTCTTGATATGCTTTTACAGGGATTGTATCAGGTCAGCCATTGGTTCAGAGGGTAGCCGGGCCTTAAATCGGTCCCTCTGAGCCGTTTTCAAAAAAGAAAGTAAAACATAAAAAAAGAAACACTGACACATTGAATTGGATTGATACAAAATGGTCCAAAATATTTTGGACTGGTCCATTTATAATGGATTCACATTGGATCAACTCCAGTCTAATTGACACCCCTAGGTGGAACCAGATGGTTGGTCCATATTCGCAGAAGTGGGATGAGTCTTGTCCTACTAGATGAGCATTTGTTTTGTACTTATGGAGTTATGGTCAATCTGGCATTGTGTCTGTACTCTGCTGGGAAGAGAAGCCAGATGATAAACTCTTACTATCGTACGCTAATCGTGTAATGTAGGATGGGCCGGGCCCACTTTTGTGGGTCTATCGCACTGTAGCGGGCTGTGCTTGTTTGGCACAAATTTCGCAAGAGGGAGAAAAATTTAAAATTTTATTTGATATGAATTTTGATGTATATAATTGTTTTTATATATATATATATAATCATAAAATAAAATTAAAAAATTACAACAAAATTAAAATAAAATAGTACTAAAATTGAATTATATAGACCCGGTGCCATGCCAACATGAACCCTCACGGGCTGTGGGCCAGAACAGCCTACAGGCTAGAAACCCTTGGCCCCAAGCCCGGCCTCGGGGGTAGTGCCATGCCACGACCTGTCACTATAGCTGGTGGGTTGTGCCTAGAGGTGTGGCGGCATGACACATTTTGGACCGGCTCGACATGATGACTAATGGGTCGTGCCAGGCCCAGCCCGACACGACATCATGTGCCATGTCGCCCGTGACACCAATATTAGGGGGTATTTCTATATTTTGCTTATGGGAAATTGAAAAATGACATAAGTGCCTCCCAACAGCTATATAACAACTAGTTTAGGGGGTCATTTTGGGTAAAGTTATTAGTAACTTTACAATGACCAAAATACCTCTCCCAACAACTAAATAACAAATAGTTTTTTGGGTATTTTGGGTAATTGAATAGTCCTATCCTCCACCATTCTCATCACACCAATTCAACAATTCTCTTAATTCTCTCTTTCTCTCTCTCATACTGATACATTCTCAATTATTTACAGTCTGAGAAATTTTGATTAGTTGATTGTCTGATTCTGCATTCTCCAATTCTCAAGTCTCAACTTTATCGAAGTTTTGACTTTCAACAAGAAGAAGGCTTGTTCAACCAACTCAAGTATCTCAAATCGGGAGGCTTGGACATTGAAAGGCTTCAACCGTTGAAATCAAGTTAGGATTTTGAACCGGGAATCCAGGTAAGTCAAATTAGATTAATTTTTATCTTTTAAGAATTAAAAAAAACGATTGGCCCTTCTCAAAACTGATTCCCCAACATGTTCACCATGGATGACATTCAATCGTATCACGATAGTATTAGTGTTAGTACTGATGCATTTGATGTCGATGGAAGTGGAAATTTCACCCCTAGTAGTAGTAATACTAGGGGAAAAATGAGGGCTTTTAAGCTAAGTAGCCCGATTTAGAAAGTTTTCAAAGTAGAGGATATTGAGGGAAAGAGGGAAAGGGCCATTTGCCAAAAATGTAGGAAAGACTTTAATTATTGTAGCAAGGGTGGTATGGGTCATTTGAGTAGACATCTGCTCACACATGAGCGAGAGGAAGATGAAGGGAGAGAAACAACCCAAACACAGATTAGAAGGGGAACTAGTTTTGGTACTTTAGATATTCACAAGAAAATATGAGATAAGAACTTGCTAAGTATATTGTACATGCAGAACAACCATTTATGTTAGCTGAAGATCCAAAGCTAGAAAAATGGTTGCATAGTTTTGTAAACCCACAATATAAAAATGTTTATAGGAATACTATAAGAATTGGTGCTTTAAAATTTTTTTATTCATATGAATAAAATTTAATTTCTTTGTTAGCAAATCTTAATTCTAAAGTTGCAATTACTTCGGATGTTTAGACATCCAATTTTAATATTAGTTATATTTGTGTTACCAACCATTTCATTGATGAAAATTGGCTTTTGAATAAAATAATATTAAGTTTTACTAGGCTTGAATGGCCACATAGTGGCCCAGCTATTGTTGCAAGTATTTTAAATACTTTGCATGCTTATGGAATAGAAAACAAAATATTTTCTATTAGTTTTGATAATGCTAACAATAATGATTATGCAATAAATATTTTAAAATCTCAATTAAAACCATGCTTAAATGGTAAATTATTTMATATTAGATRTGCATGTYACATCTTAAATTTATGTATTCAAGATGCCTTGAATATTATTTCAAATCATATTTCAAAAATTAGAAATTGTATTTTATATATAAAAAGTTCAGGGGCAAGAAAACAAGAATTTAAATATTTATGATAAAATTATGGTTTAAAATATAAACATTTTATATTAGATGTAAAGCATAGGTGGAGTTCTACCTATGCTATGTTAGAAAATTGTATATCTCATAAACAAATTCTTTCTGATTTTTCTAATTTAAAAAGGCCTAATGATATGATATTTGAGGAAGACTAGGAAATGACAATCTGTATAAGAGATTTTTTAAAACATTTTTATGATGCAATAAATGAATTATCTAGAACTTATTATCCAATTAGTTGTAATTTATCGTATCAATTAATGGTGATTAGTGATTGTTTTGCCAAATATAGAAATAATCCACAATTTCAATGTATTGTTGAAATTATGGAAAATAAATTTAAAAAATATTGGGAGAACATTTCTCCCCTTTATTGCTTAGCTACAATATTAGACCCTAGGATTAGGAAAGATGGTTTAGATATTTTACTTGAAACATATTATGAAAATATGAATATTGATATAGGAAATTAAAATGTATAATTTGTATCAATCTGAAATTGTAGGAAGTATTCCTACAACTTGTTCATCATCTTCTTCTTCTCCTTTTGACTTTGAGCCCAATAGTAAAAGAGAAAAGCTTTTTTATTTAATAAGTAGAAGGCAAAAATCTGCTAGTTCTACAACAAGTTCATTTACTAAATTTAATTTTTATTTACAAGCAAAATTTTCTAATTTAGGTGAAGTATCAAATAATTTTGTTATTTTAGCTTGGTGGAGTGAACACTCGAAAAATTATCCGATTCTCACCACCATGGCACGTGATCTACTAACCCCCCCGGTGTCTTCAATTCCATCGGAGTCTTGTTTTAGTGTAGGTATTAGGGTGTTGGATGACAAAAGAAACTGCATGAACGATGAGAGCATAGGGATATGTATTTGCTTCAAGGATTGGCTAGATGCAGAAGTAGATTACAAGACAAGGGAGGGCATGATACAACACCGGACATTTCACCCGAAGCAGATGATGAAAGTCATGAATTTGACTACTTGTAGAATTTTTCATTATTTTCAAATTATTGTAAAATTTTTAAATTTTATTTAATTTATTTGATATATATATTTTTTAAATTTTTAACGATGTAATTTTGTATTTTCAATTTGTAACCATATTTTATTTTTTATATTTTATTAATTTATTCCATTTTTATATTTCATTCATCCAAGTATGCAATGATCAAATCGTTGTATTTGTAATTCACTAATTTGTACCATTCAAATTTAAATGAAATAAAATTCCTATTTTTCTTCCAATTTGTTATTCCATCATTCTTATTTCAATTTGGTTAAGTATTTTTTTTTCATTCCCAAGGCCCACCTTGTGGCCCAGCCCGGCACTGTCCAAGCCCGCGACACAGCCCAGGCCCGCATGCTGGTACGACATGGCAAGGGCCCACTTGGGCCTAAGCGGTGCCGGGCCGACCCCCAAAATTTTCACTGGAGATGACAACGTGGCCCATGGCAGCCCACGGGCCACCACGACATGGCTCACTATTGTACACCTCCACTTTTTGGGTAGCAAAAGCGCGTCGAACCCCATCTACATACAGTTCAGTTCTACGGTATTCGCAGGTTTCTACATGAATAAAAGAAGGCAACGTAATTATTTTATGAACTTAATTGACAATTATAATTTAAACTTTAAAAACCAATGAAAGAGTATAGCGGCTGATGGGCGGGGTTCAAGTAAAGGTAATTTAAGAAAACGAAAAGAAAGAATAAAATAAAAGAATGGAATTTGTTAAGAACTAGTCTGTTGTATCTGTGCAATGTTGTGAAAAAAAGGCTTTGGACTTCAGCATTAATAGTTAAGACTTAAAAGATATGACCCATGTCAGGAGATCATTGGTCCAAGCCTAGCTTAGCAAGTGGATAGGTGAAGAGGAAATATTCACTCACTCCTACACTAATTCACCATTTCAGAGATGATAGAGACACTGAATAAGTTCTATTTGTTGTTTGCAAGGTTCAAAGTATCGGTTGATACGTATCATATTGAAAGCTTCTTGATACATTTTTATAGAGGGTGTATCGGGGTTTTAACCGATTCAGGGGTGGATGGTTCTTAAACCAGCCCCTCTGAACCGGATTTGAAAAAAACCTACCGATATTGTTTGATATGCTTCTATTGACATATCGAGTATATCGATATTTTGAACCCTGGCTGTTTGAGTTTCATCTAACAGGTCAATATAATACAAGCATATAAGGCGAAAAGATATGGTATGGGAAGAGTTTTGACCAATCAAAACCTATCAATCAAAATCCATCCATGAATTTTGATAAATAACACCTAGTTTGTTACCATGTTTATGATTCCAATTGACTGGTGATAAATTTTTCGATTATCATATCTTTTTCATATCATAGTCGAACTCATACTATATATGAAAGTGTAGATATAAAATGAATTTTGTAGACTTTTGTTTGAAAAAGAATATAATAATTATTTTATCATCTATATTTACTACGTACACACTTACTTAATATGGATTGAACTCATTTATTGACTGACAACGCTCTTGATGGCATTTGTGTAGAAGATGTGGTTAGTTCTTTCAAAAATATCTGTCCTAATTCTCACAAGTCACACCTTCAAAATATTATGATGTCCTATCTCCTATGTAAAGAAATATAAATATCAGACGTACAGGAATTTATAATCACAAACCCCTGTTTGTCATTGATAATTAATGAAGTTATTGAAGTACGTAAGGGTTAACCTGGGTCGTCTGGTGGATCTGTGGTGTTAAACCGATGAATTTATTGAAGTTTTTGGTGTCCCGAGTAACTGAGTTTGAGAGGTGGCTGTGGGGAAATAACGTAGTTTCTCTTGGATTGCAAAGCCAAAGAATTAATTAATCTAATGCATAATAGTGACAAGGTAGGGGCGTATTGAATGAATCGATACATATTTTTATTGCGTTTTTTTTTTTTAATTTTTTTTTCAACTGGTTCAAGGGGCTTGGTTTAGGTCTCTTCTACCCCCTAAACCGGTCAGACCTCCGATACACCCACTGTAGGGGCATATTGCAGGGGTCCTAGAGTGATACATATCGGTTGATATGTGTCGATACTTTGAATATTGAATAGTTATATATTTAGCCGGTAAATATCATCTTTAGGGGGGCGTTCTTTTTTTGGATTTTGAGAGGGAAAATGTTAGTTAATTGGATTCTGATTCCCATTGATAAAGAAACCTATGTTCTTTTTTTTTTTCAGATTTATGTGAGGAGCAGGGAAACTTTATTTTCTTGGTTATCACTTACTCGGGTAAGTGATACCCATCTTATGGGTGAGTAAATAACTTTCCCACATGGGGGGAAGTCACTAATACTTAAATAATACAAAAATACCTCTTTTAATAATGAATTTTTATGGCTAAAATGGTCATTGTCTTGTTTACCTGAGAAATAAAAGAACATGAGTAAATACATTTAACCAGATAAATAATTTACAGAAAAGCAAACAAGGCCTTAAAAGGATTCTGATACTCTATTGAGCGACAATAAAAGCTTCACATGTAAGTATGTAATAGTAATCCAATTCAAACACATGTTATTCTCCTTCTAATTAGTCCATGCTCAAACAACACTGTAAGTCTTCTACCGGCTCTCCCATAGAACTCATCCTTCTGGCTTCTGCCATATTCCTAGGCTTTTTCCATTGGATTGAAACTTGCTGCCAAAGTAACCTTTGAGTTGTGGCCTTGTGGGATGGGTTGATACGGTTTCTATAAACCTATCCACATTTAATCTGGATCACAGAGTGCTTTAGACGAGTCCAGATCTCCTGCCTATAAGAATTCTGTCCACATTTATCGTAGTCACATATGGAGAACATCTCATACTCCGCATAGTATTATGCAGGGAGAGATATTCCCAATTCACGGGATAATGTATTATAAGTAGACATGAGCAGGGTTCCAGAGTAGCTTTAGATTTTTAGAATTTAGAAGAGAAATTAGAAGCTGGGCCAGGCCTGGTTTGGTCCAGACAAGATTGGGCTTGGGCCTAAAAACAGCCAATCCAATCTAAGTGTGACTTGGGCAGTTGGGCCTGAGGCCTTGGTAAATCCGAGGCAGAGGATGGAAGTGAGTTTAGGTCATTGGTGGGCCAGTGGCCTAGTGGGGGGTAATTGTATATAGAAGAAGGTTAAGGGCTGGAGTCTGTATTCGTGCCAATTGCCAAACCTGACCTAACCTGAGCAAATCCCAGTCAACTCGACCTAACCACGATAGACGAGACGATACCCTCAGTCTTCTGTTACCAATCGGACGGCTACGTAGAAAGTCAAAAGTGAGGCTACAGCCGCATGTATTAGTGATGTTGTCAAGTTACTTGTTATAAAAGCAGAGTCTGAGTAGTGGTAAGTGGACTTCCATTAATTTTGGTCAACATGATTTGAAACTTGAAGCATGGGGTTGCTTATTGCTGAATGCTGACCGCTAAATACAAAATTCCAAGTTAGGCTGGTAATTGCCAACGGCCTCCCCCCCTCCCCTCTCTCTCTCTCTCTCTCTCTCTGTTTCTGGGTCAATCACAACATTCACTTGTTCTATGTACACTGACTACTGCCTTAACTCATGCCCAATTTTTCAACCAGAATATAGTGTTTATCATCCATCGATCCGATTTGGTGATTTAACTGAAGATTGGTAAAAGATACGAGGACAAGACCAGGAGTCAGAAAAAAACTGATTGAAGGAAGGGAAAAAGAACGATCGATGACTGAGACCAGAAGAAAAACCATTAAACAAGGATGGTGGACAGAAAGTATCTAAATTTTCTTGAAAAGGGTCATTGAGGGCAAGGGGATGTTTCTTCCGATGTGAATTGTTTTTTTTGTTATGAGTTCAAAAAACAAAACAAAACCAGCTTGCTTTGAATACCAATTGGTTCTTAAAACAAAAACACAAAAAAATATCTTCTTGATTATATATTTGTTTTTTTTTTTTTTCTTTCAAAACTGAAATAAAAAAACATATAATTGAATTCCTTGTTTAAAGAACATGTTTTCATGTGGTTAGTTAATGTTATGTTCCATAATGCAATTCCTCGACCAGTTTTAAATTGTTTTCAAAACCATTAATTTGACAGTTTCAGAAACATGTACGCATGTGAGTTTTTTTTTTTTAAACAAAAATTCAAGTGGGTCCTTTACCATTACCAAGTTTAGGGCTGACCTGTAAAATCCACACCATGATCCATCCCATACTTGAAATTTCGATCCTGATAAGGAGTCTGGATCTATTATTCCTCACACCAACCTCACAGAATGTTCTAGCGGTGTGAATAGCAGATCCCAACTGAAGGAAAAATTAGATTCTTCCATTTAATTTGATTTTGTTTTATCCAATGTATTATACTCCTTTCCTCTAACATTTTTCTTTTATAACATTATATGTAAGTAAGGTTCAAAATATCGATACAGTCGATACGACCGTAGGCATGTATCAGATGAATCAATGCTATTTTTTTTACTTTTTTTTTTTTTTTCTGAAACCGGTTCAGGGGACCTAGTTTAGGGCTCCTCCACCCCTTGAACCGGTCAGACCCCCGATACGCCCACTGTTGGGGTGTATCAAAGGGGCCCTGGAACGATACGTATCGACCGATATATGTTGATACTTTGAACCTTGCATGTAAGTAAGGTTTTTAAAACCAAACCGGACATGGAAAACAGCCAAAAATCATTGTCCAACTTGATGATTTGAAAATCCGGGTCAATGGTTTTCTGACAAAATCAACAGGTTTTGGCCAAACAGCGGTTTTGGGTGAAACGGAACCGGTCAGGTGACTGGTTCCTGATTTTCTGGTCCGACCATCCGATCGGGTTTTGAAAACACTGCATGTAAGTGAAGAAGAATTGGGAAGCTTAGATCAATTCCATCTTACTGAACAATACAATAATTGGATGAACGAAAACAAATTGTGTATAAAACAGTTACAGAAAAAAAAGATTAATTATAAAAAACAGCAAGGACGGAAGGGTGAAGGTGGCTTTCACAGTAGGCCACCACTGTAAGGCACTATGGTGGCGGGTAACCAACTATCCCCTAATATGAAATTAGAAACTGTGAAATTGGCTGCATCCGTAGCATTTATCAGGTGGTAGCCTGGCCATGAAACCCTGTCTGTAGTCACTGATCCGGGTCCTGTGTTGTTATACTCAGCGTAATAGAGTGTGCTAAGCGCAAAGTTTCCGGACCATTCCTTCCAACCGGCGGGATCTATCAAGCTATCAATGATGGATTGCATATACACAGTCCTAGAATACTCCTTCCATGGTCGTCCGAGGTAGGATTTAGTAGTGCCGCTGCTGGAAGCCAAGTCTGGGGCCGCTCTGATGTTGCAATTATGTATTGAAATGCCGGTGTTCTGGTTCGGGTCTGTTCTACCTTGGGCGGTTAGGGCATTGAACTGTCCCTGCATCGGCAGCCTCGCATAGATATTGCAGTTTTGGAAAACAGCGGCAGCATTCCCAAATATAAAGTCGACGGTGCCATATATGTCGCATTCCCTGTAAAACTGCCGGAGAGAATGTGCGTATAAGGTATCTTGGTAACCTTCAAAGCTGCAACTGTAGAAGGTCGACAGGTCTGCTCCATTCCGGACGGCCACTGCCTGGTGTTTGATTGCCCCCGCTGTGTTGCGAACTGTTATATTTATTGCGACGAACCCTTGTCCAACAACAGCTGCAACCAAGAATGAATCCAGTCAATGTCGTTAATGAAAAATATTAAACCATTAATACGAAATAGTTCTGCATATCTAAGAATATTGCAATTAGTCAGCTAGCTTACCCAAGGTTGCAGAGTTGAATGTAGTCCACCCATCAACCACGCTTCGGTTGCCTGTGATCACGGTCTGGTTAATTCCGTCACCGATCATCATCAAATTCTTCTTATTTTTAGCAATGGATACATATTCCTCGTAGACCCCAGCAGCAATGTATATCACGAAGTAGCCCTTGCTTGCTTTGGTGTTGTTTGGAGCTGCTGCTACAGCGTCGTTGATGGTGGTGAAATTTCCACTTCCATCTTGGCTCACCACCACCAAATCACTGACTAGGACATTAGGTATGGTTGTCTGAACAAGCTTCCTTCTGCTCGCCGACTCGTACATCTTCTGGATACGACTCGACATCATCAGAGGTAGGCGACCGTCTCGAACTTCTTCCGTGTCGGAGAACATGAGCTTCCTCCCCTTGGCTTTGTTCTTTTTATGAACCCAACCACGAGTAAACAGCGCCAGAGAGACACTATAGAGTTTGTTTCCATCGGAGAGAGGGGTGTAAATACCATTCTTGACACTCCAAGCTGATGCAGTTGCCAGGAGGCCATCTAAACAAGTCTGTTGGTTAGTCATTATGGCGCTAAGCAAGGTCTGGACGTCATCGGCCTGCAAGCTGGGGAGAGCTTTGTCAGAACCGATCGTATTGATTGTAGTTGACAAGAAATCCAAATTTAGTCCCGTAAGGAGTCGACAGTCTTCCAGGGCCCGAATGGCAGTTGCGGACAGTTTTGACCGGCCTCGGAGATACCGATCAATCAGAGACGAGAACTTGGTTGCCGCGGATATAGAGCGCCGAACAGAAAACCGACCGTAGTCGTAGATGTTGCCCGACTGGTTGCGTGGAAGAAGAGACTTGCAGAGGTAAGGATAAAGGGTGGAGTTACAAGCATTTTCAGGTGCAACTGGGGTGGACGAGGGATCTTGGGCAAGTGATGAGGAGGAAAAGAGAAAGAGAATGACAATGCAGAGAGGGAGGGAATAGAGATAGGAGGAAGCCATGGTGTATTGGTGTTGAGTCTTGACTTGAGAAGGCTGTCACGGGATTAATTTGATGAATTGGGGTAGGAGTTAAGCCAATATATATAGAGAGAGATATGCAAAGAGGTGGTTGCATTAAGCCATACGCATATGTATGCAAATGTCAATTTGTTTTATATTTCAGGTCAAACTTTACTTAGGACCACGCAGAAGCGCGTCGATCTCCATCTACATTCTACATTAATTCTCTAACAGCACAGAATGCATTCATCTGGTCTTTCTCATTTTTGCAGAAGCCAAAGCGCTATTTATTTTGGCCCATTGTATAGTATAGCCCCGTCGATCTCCAATTTTTTTTTTGGTTCAGGTTTCAAGTGAACCTGTTCTGGCTGGACCATGCAAAATTTTGTTTTGGGATGACCGTATGACATATGGATGTGCTAGAGAACGTACGGGCCGGGCCTTAGTAGAAGTTTCTAATGAAGTTTAAAATTAACAAGCCTACAAATTATATATGATTAATAATGACCATTCCAGCTGGCTATTAACATAGTGATTGTTAAGTCCCATCAGATGCTGATTTTTCCTACTCTTGAGTCTTGAGTCTTGAGACATGTCACAGGTGGCAAGTCGTCTAATGAATACAAAATTGAAAACTCTACTGGCTTAGAAGAAAGTGATGGAAAAAAAGAAAAACTAGTATACCGCCAGGTATACTAGTCTAATAAAGAAAAGAAATTTTTTAGGCGAGTCAAAATCTAAGTCTCATATCAAATCCTCCTCGTCGAATTCAAACTACAGGCTGGGGGGAGAGCTAAGCCCCTATCTAGTATAGCTAAAAAGATTTAAAAGATAATAAGAATGGAAAAAAGAACAAATGAAAAACTAACAAGGCCAAAAACTTAAAACTGGGCGCCGGTGCCAATAAATAAAATAAAATAGAACCAGGACGGTGAACTCCCAGCATGCCAAAATTAAGTTGACAATAACAAGCGTCTGCGTTTCTACTCTGTCCATTCTACATCTCCCTGTTTAAAGTCTAGTAGTGTGTAGACTGGCTAACGCGGTTTCCATAAATCAATCCACAACTCATGCCCGCCATTGGTGGGGTCCCATCAAATAGAAGAAGCTAATAGAGCCTGCACCAGAACCAGAACCAGAAGCATCAGCATTATCATAAATGAGTTTCACGGACGGAACACCCATTTTCCATTTTTTTTTTCAATAAACCACAACTCATCCCCATGATGATGATGATATTCATTCAATGGTTAATTTGTGCAGAGTTGATTGTTGCTCTCGATTGGGTCTCAACGTACCAAGTGTGGCAAATCACAGGGTGAGAGGGTGGTGTCATCCTGTGGCCTTAGAGTTAGAGCTAGCACCATGCGTAAGACACACAAGGCGCAGCAACGGGGGCGGGCGGTGGGAATATTGAACTCAAAGCTATATCGAGTCAGCCAACTCAACACTGAAAAGTGAACAGACCATCCCATCCCATCCCATCCCTAACCTAACAGGAGCACAGCCGTATGTTGTGATAACGATACAGAAAGCGCGTCTTTTTGGTTTCTGAATTCTGATAGCGATAGCGATACATACATACATACTACTACTGAATATTAATAATATAGAATATGCGAAAATTCTCAAAACGCTCGTCTGTCAGTCACCATTTAGACTTTCCTTTCGTCAATGATTTGACTTCCACCGTCGTTCCTAACAATAACCGTATCCGTATGTTGGAGAATTGGCAGCGTATGCCTTCACTCCAGAGTACAGGCATCAACATGGAGCCAAAGCTGAATTTCCGCTATGGAAGTTGACCAAGTTCGGCCCAACTAAGGCTAAGATAGCCTGTAAAAAGGCCCGGCCCAGGTAAGTGTACCCCTAAATGTGGGCCGGACGGGACAACCAGGTAGGAGTAGGACTGCACAAGTATCTATCTGATTGTCCCAACTCCCAATTCGAATTCAAATACTATCCCATTGAGGGCGATTTATAAATTGATTCAATTTGTTTTATGAATTATAATATCAGCCAATTTTAATTCAATTTATTAATAGGGTAAATCTCTTAAACTACCTTTATTATTCATGAAATCATCAAACTGTACCTTTACTGTGTATAAATATTGTCTTGCGGTACTCTTAATTTTTTTTGACAATTTTTTCAAATTTGTCAAATTTGCCTTTCATTATTTATCGAATTTTCAAAATAAAACCAGCTGATGAAAACCCAAAAAAGAAATCAGTGCCTCTTTGTTCTGGAGTGATTGTTCATCCTACACCTCGCCCAACGTCGGAGCAATGGCGAATTTGGTGGAAGATAAAGAGTCTATGGGTAAGCGGGGTTCGTCGAGAAATGCAACAGTTCTTGCCTCAAATTCATGGGCAGAGAACAAACTGGTAACAGGCTCAGCCCGCTCAGCCCTGTTTCTGTTGCTTCCGGCACGGAGAGCACGACTTTGGAGAAGCCATCGGTTTCGCTAGATTTTCTCGCTCTCTGATACCGCATGAAAAAATTCCATGCAAGCTCATCTGTAAGACTTTAATCTCTCACAACGTCCGTCTCTTCCGCTTCGCGTTGCCGTCGAAGGATCAAGTCTTGGGATTACCAATATGGAAGTGGGCTACCAGAGACTCACTACGTCTCTTTTGCAAGGCTTCAATCTATCTGATATCACGTTGTCGTCTCACGACGTCTCTTCTGCTACCATAGACAATAAGCTCTGAATTCGTGCTTACACCCCACCAAGTTCAATCGGCTTACATCCATCAACTCCAACAGATGGCGAAAGACCCAAAAAGAAAATATATGTTGATGATTTATGTTATCCTAGTATTTAGGAGTTTGTTTCAGTTTGCTAATCACATATTGTTTTACCTATTCTTTAGGATTTAGTTGTTGCAG